CCCGTCCCTTCTCCCCTGGCCCCGCTCTCCCCTCACCGGCGCCGGTCTGCTGCGCCCAGCTTTGTCTGAGCAGTGAAAACACCAGCGTCAGGCCCGTCTTGACGCCCATAGCCACCAGCGCCGCCTGTCCGCCGCCGGAGCCGGTCCCGGCGCCGTCCGCGCACACCCGGCCAGAGTCCCGCCGGCCCGGCGACGGGGACACGCTCTGGGAGCGGGAGGGGGGGGGGGGGCGTTAGAGGTGTCAGGGTGGTAGGGAGTTGGATGTGTGACCCAGTGTGCATACGCTTGGTGGTAAAAGCTAATAGCTATCATGAAATGGTACAGGAATACTTGCTACAATAAAATGGCATTTTACTTTTGATTCATAAAAATATGCTTACCTGCATTAAAACTTGTTTAGATGCGATCGCAACAGATTGCACCGTAACGAGCTAATCACGATTAAAAAACAAGAAGTGGTATTGAATCAATAAGCTACTCAGCACCAGTTATCCAGCCCGTCACCCACCTTTCCGGCGTCATGGTATTTGGTGGCCAGCGCGTGGAATATCCTGCGCAGCACGATGAGCCGCTGTCTGAGCAGACCGGAGATCGGCGAGTCGGCGAGCACGGCGGCGGCCAGGCCGAGCTGGGCACTCAGCAGACTGCCCACGAACGCCTCGTGGTCGGCCCGGCTGGCGCCGCTCTCCGGCTCAAAGTCGGGCAGTCGGGTGGTCGGTGGGGCCGGGCAGGTGTCGTGCAGTGGGACCACCTCCTGGGGAGGGGAGAGGAGAGGGTTTGTTACCGTACGGCGAGTTTAGCAGAAATGTCACTGAGATCTTAAAGGTAGTGTGCCAGCTTTCCTGGACCGTATGGAGTTAATGGCCCAGATAAGGAGAACCGGATTTTTAGAACTTATCCATACCTTCAAAACTCATGGAAACGTCTTAAAGTCTTCAAATTTTGAGTACCCCAGTGCGAAATTCGCCCCGACGGGTTGTCGGTCGTACCCCAACCACATTTCACACCACTATGAACAATAAATGCACACACTGAAATCGCTATTACCGATAGGCTCATCCAATCAAGTTTCGATAAACCCGTTCATAATCTCCTGCGGTTTCGAACACGGCTGTTAGGTGGTGCGGTAGGCCGCGCCCAAAGCCAGGGCCCCGGTAACGTGAGGTAGCCGAGTCGGGGCAGCGTGCGCTGACCCAAGCCGGGGCCGCGCGTCCTCCCGGTGTCATGTGATAGCCCGGGGCTGCCCGCGGGGATGCGGTAGACCGCGCCCAAAGCCGCGGCCCCGGCTTGGGTCAGCGCACGCTGCCCCGACTCGGCTACCTCACGTTACCGGGGCCCTGGCTTTGGGCGCGGCTTCTGCTCATACTTTGTGGTGCGGTGGTGGTGCGTCGGGCCGCGCGCTCTGACTTCGGCCAAGAAAAATGCGTCAGCTGATCATTGTCATTTCTGCCACTTTCATGTGGTAAAATGGGGTCATAACTTTACAGACGGCTGTTTCATATCAATTATTTTACATAAAATAATACTTCAAACCATAAATTAATGTTTGACAGCCAAATTAAAGAAACAATACCAATACAGGCTTACAGTTTAAATTCGACATTGTGTTGTCTACGATTAGACAGCTGATAACTCATTCCTGTACGTCGTAACCGGTAACTCTATAATGACCTTTGCTTATTGTCACATGTGCGCCGCATTCGTGATTGTTGCCGACGCCTGTTTGCAGGTCAGCCTACTACAGTTGTTATACATATCGAAAAACCGATAAACTTTTAGGCGAAAAAAGCACTATTTTAGGATCATTTTGATTTTTTGCGATGTTAGGTAAAAACAGAAGCTTCTTATCCTAGGAAAAATAAAATGGGAAATCATTCGAAGGTGGCACACTACCTTTAAGATTGGAGAGGCCAGAGTAAGAGTATGGCATGGTCGTTATTAATTTGAACAGAAATTTGACTGGAATAGGAGGAATGGCCAAAAGTATGACTTTCCATAGCATTTTTAGGAAAGGCAAAGAAGTTTTAGGGAAAGTAGCATTGCTGTGATTAGGAGAGTACAAATAGAAATAACTATAGCATCATTGTCCAGCATTTTGAAATTAGGCATAGAGGAGTTTTCCACCTTTATGGGTATAAATTATTATATCACAACCAAAATTGCACTGTAAAATATACAACATCACCATATACCAATTGTTATTACTAGCCTATAAGCTACTTGGCAATAAAGTCCAAATGTATGAGCTGCCTCTGAAATAAAATCAGTAGGTTAACATAATCCACTACAAACACAAGGATATTCTTGACAATGAGGCTGACAGCAGGTTTTAAAATCACGAGCACCATTCCACCTTTGCCATCACAAGCAGCTAAATCCTCCAGTGTTCCAGAGTAGGAAGCCTCACCTTGGACTCAATGAGGCGGGCGTAGAGACCCTCGGCAGCCTCCCTGTGGCAGACTGATTCGGGCTTCTCCCCAATCCAGGAGGAGTTGAGGTGGTCAGACCACTTGATCTTCACACCCTGCCCAGCCATGGTCCTGTTTACAAAATAGGTAATACAGAACAGATCAAACAATCATAATAAGCTAACACAATTAGCTAGCAGATCAATAGATTAAACCTCAGTGCTAGAAAGTCGCAAAACAAAAGCGCTCAATGTCAAAAACATGAAATAGGAGAAAAGTTGCTATATTTGATAGGCAAGGTTAAGGGTGATTTCTTAATTTGTTCCATCTGGTCAGGCATTGACCATCAGCCCAGGGCCCAGGCATCAAGTACCTACCTAATATTCTTGCCCCAAAGTTACCATAACCAATTACAAATTACAAATGTACACTGTAAACCTGACTAGAACAAACTTTAAGTGTTAAAGTAAAAAAAAAGTTAAATATCAGTCATCAACATCATGAGATCATTCCGAAGTCGGAACATGAACAATTTATTGAAAATTCAACAACAGTCACATTTTTGGAAAAGAGTTCAATTGCCAAAATACAAAATATGCCTTTCTAATAAAGAAATCAATTAATTCCTTTATATGCCAAAGCAACATAATACATGATATAACGCACTGTGCACGGGGTTTGAATGAGGACGTGTCGGAAATGTAATCTAAATATTGATTATCGCTCCTTATATGGTCATCGCTCCGCCCATTTTGGTGACGTCATAATCTTAAATTAGATTAATCTTATTTTAGATTACCTCCCTGCAGTTTGCCCGACTGAAATGCAAGGCCGATTTGAACCTTGCAAGGGAATGATCTTTTTCATAGCAATTACATTATATTCTACCTTTTGGTAGGATGAGGCGTTATATAGATGTCTACTTCATGATTTTCTGATAGCTATGGCAAATAATATCATTCGGAGTGCACAAAAACACTCAAAAATTTTCGCAAAACGTCCCAGAGGACACTTGCAGAGATACGAGCCACAATAGTCTCAAAAATGATTGTTTACAACACAAAATTATCAAGAGCTAAAATCATGGCAATGCTATTACGGAATTATCCCAGAAAAAGACCAATTCCTAGCGTATTCGCCTACTCATGCAAAAAAAAAATAAAAACTTCATAAAAGTTGCATGGTATCGAGACAAATTTGGACGTAAACTTGGATATTTGTACACTTGTATACCTATACTATAGATGGCGCTGAGGTTCAACGAACTTCGAGATGGGGGCCAGGGCAAGGACCAGGCCAGGGCATGGGCGCCTGCTCGGCAGATGGCAGGACGGTCTAACGAGCCACACCTTTCTGAAACCTTTCAATTGAAAAAAAAATCGCGGAGCATTTTGGAGCATTTGGCCGGCATCGATTATTTCATCTACCTACCTTTTCGTTTCCGAGTTTCGTTTCCTTGCGCCGTTTTGTCAGAACAATTGTCGAATATCTAGGCGAACGTTGACCGTCTTTGACCTCAGCTCTGCTGACCTGACCTTCGACCTTACCTAATAAGTGACTGTACCTACAACATCTTCAAAAATTTTGACGCTCTTCTTGGCCAGCCTGGAAGCCGACGAGGGGGCGTTCAACCCTCCCCTTCCTTGTACCTACCTAGGTACTTATAGCAGTAAGGCGCGTGGAAATCCAGGAGGCAGGAGCTCCAGTGACCTGGGAAAAGGCGGAGCGGCCTCTACTGGGACCCGTGGAACTCCCCTATATGCAGACGAGAGCATTCGTTCCATCAATATGAGGAGCAACATTTGTGTCCCATCCGCTGCTTCTCATGACGAGAACGATTCTTTTTTTTTGTAATCGATGTCATCTGATCGTATCTAAAGAGGCAAAAATGACATCCAAGCTGGACAGCGGCATCCCCTTGGTTGTGAATTAGGTAAAGTGCCTTACGAAAGGTTAAAACGGACCACATTTTACTTGGCATCTGTAATCTGTAACACTACACCGCTTTCCCTTTTAAAACAGCCTCACTCTTTTAAATGTGTCTTGGCATGCGGCATCCCTAATGTCCAGCACACAAAAGTAGCACAAAGTAGCATACTCCAGCTTCCAGACCTGTTTGTGCTGTAAACATTTGGATATGGTGTTCACCCCGAAAACGGCGTCCACAACAATAAAATGTCGCGACAAATTAACGACTCTCTGTGGGCTCTCAGCCACCACCAATGACCAATAAATGTCGACATGGAAGGACAGTATAATTTATATCCGACTTTGGTGGCCGAGTGTTTATACGTGGTAAGAAACATACCATTCCTCGGTGGTCTGGCCTGTTGCTCGGCCAGACTGGCCAGCTCGGCCAAACTGGCGTAACAACAAAACGCTACTCGACGGGCTCTTTATGACAGTATTGATGTCTGTTTTATCTTTTGACAAATGGTATTGCTCTTGACGACATATCTGACCCGCCTATGGCTGCTGGCTGCCAGCCCCTGTGGACGCCCAGCTGTGAAAAGCTCTGAAGGTTATAGGTAGCTGTCGCAGCTCTAGCGGTCTCTAGCTGTCGCAGCTCTCTGACTGTTAGCTGTGGCTGCTGGCTGACAGCCGCCCGTGGACAGATAGGTAAGTACACCGGCGCGGGCTGCCGGTGACACCCACCGCGGCGGCCGTGCCTCCACTGCGCGGTTGTATCGCACCGACATCGGCTGCCGCGAGCTGCTGGTGCTATCTCCGTACACATCTTCTCCATTAGAGCGTGCCCGCCGCCCGCCCGGCTCAGCAAATAATTGAATTTCATCGCGGCCGACATGGTAACATGATGCGGGTGGCGCTGACGCTCAACACGGTAGATGATGCCAGGTGAAGGTTCTAAGTTGCGCAACGAAGTGCGACTTGCAGCCATCTAATGTCAAGAAACACCGACATTGGACACACAAAAGATTTCATGGAAAATGACGGGACCAATCCTTTGACAATCATCGAACCTCCCCATCACACCTGTCAAACAGGATAATGGTGCCACCGCTGCCATTGCAATGCTGGAGCGCCTGCAGCAGAGCGCTGAGCCTGCGATTGTGGATATAAGCAGCAAGTTGGCGATCAGCTCCTTCGATTAGCAGATCCACTGATCGCTGAAAAGTCATCGGCAATCATTAGCCATTGCTGACGACCTTTGAACCACCGCTGAATATGCCTGAGCGGTGGGCGAACGCCACACTGAAGGCGTGGGGCTCACTGTGCCTCCGCTCACCAGTTATTCATGTGGGCGGCTCATTTCAGCCGCGAGATAAATGCCCGCCGAGTCCGTCGCTCGATCAGTTTCATTACACCTCGCCGGCGACTGCTTTATTCTCTTCATTAATCCTGCGCCGCCATTTTTCACATTATGTGACGCCGCGCGGCCGGCGCTATCACAATTTTATAACTCGACTCGGGCCAAACTAATCATCTAAATGCCGGCCCAAACCGCCAAATTTAATAAAAGGCGCTCGGCTGGCGGATGCGACGCCCGCTTTAGTGTCGCCGACGCTCATATCCGCCGCCGACTAATAAGAATACATGGCGTTAGCGGTAAGCCGACCGGCCGTAAGGGATTCTCTGAGGCGCTTTCAGTGGGCGTCTCGTCCGCTCTGTCGCGCAGCTCGGGCTCCGTCGTCTCGGTACGGGCGCTGCTGGAGATAGGTACCTGCGCAGAGATCGTCCTCACCCGGAGGACAAGGGTTGGACGAGGTAACACGGAGGATGGAGAGACGATCTGGTCATGAACGGCCTCGTGAAAGAAGCGATGGACAGTGAATGCTTTACAAGACTGATGTGAAGAGAGGAGCTGCAGATCATGATGCTAGAAGGCTTTGCTATAAACATCAGAGCCTGAAAGACAGTTAAGGGTAAAGTAATTGGTATCCAAGGACAGGACTTTGATCTTATTGTTTTAATCGGTATGCAGGTCTGTGTGAATTCATCGGAGCAGCACTAGCACCATACATACTATGTACCTATGTACGTACGTTTGTGACGGGCGAGGCAGGCTGATGGTTAGGCTGTGCCGCAATGCACGCAGGCTGTGCTGTAGCTGAAGAAGTCTGGCGGGAAGGCTGTGAGGTTTTTGAGACAAATATGTATTTAACTCCGCATTCAGCTGCGAGATGAAGGTGGCAAGGATGTGAAATATGTAAGCACGGTCCACGGCCCTTATAAGTATATGCAAGCGCCACATTTAAATACAAATAAGCATAGAATCTATTATCATTGAGTCAGTCAGCCGCCTGAACTGCACGAGTGACAGTCGTTACTCGTTGATCATGAACAAGTCGAAGCGTGACACACGTGTCTCCGTGATTATGCACCTGTGAATACCTCGATAAGCGTAAAATCCGGCCGAAACTGACACCGGGCCTATCACGATACGTAAATTTAATTCAGCCGCGATTTCAGCAGACACGAATCAACCACCTCCTGTTGCCATGTTGAGCTCGGAAAGCTGACCCGGGCATCGTGAGCTGGCCAGAGGCGTGCTGACGACCAGACGCGGTTCTCTTCAGGGCAATTATGCATTGAATCTCCAACAGAATGCGACATTGGTGACGGGTGGTGCTGTGGGTTTTCCGCCGTTTTCTAGTTAGACGTCGTGCCGAGAAGAGTCGAAGAAACGTCGCTCATCCGGAACCATATTGGCGATTGCCGGATCTAGGTGCCGGATTTGGGTGCAGGACTCGTGAGTGACGTGATGATGCCAGAGGTGTGACTCCCGGAGGCTGGAACAGACGCGCCGCAACTGCAGGTGATGGAAGGAAGAGACGATTTCGTGGTCAGAGAGAAATATTGAACGAAGAACAGACCTTAGCATGCAAAAACGTAATTCGTAATTCGTAAAGGACTAAATTGGAAAGAAGGTAATGCACTGAAAAAAGGTAATGCTTATCGACAACTTCTTTTCTTATTGTAAAAAGAAACGTCTCCGTAGGATCTTTTTCACATCCACCAATGGCATTTGTATTCTCACGTACCGCTGACGGTTAGGTTCCAATATTCCCCACAGCCAAATGAACTCCACAAATAGTTACACCTCCGGTTGTCTTTCCCAATCCGCTCTGAACTCGGCAACAGTGCGCGGTGAGGTCGGAGGGGGTCAGCGGGTCCGTAGCCGTTCCACCTCCGCCCGGGAGCGGCGGCTGATGATGTGAATCGCGCCGCGCCCGGCCGACGAGCGCCCTCACGGATTGATGGCTGTCGTATCGCGAGTTCAGAACCGGAGACATGCAAACGGCCCCGGTTTATTAGAGGCGAGCCGAGCGGAGACGAGCCTTCATTTGAATACGGCACGGCGGAGACAGAGCGACGCAGATGAACTTCAAGGGTCTGGGGATACTGGGAGTGGGTTTTGGTGACACTGTAGTGTGGGTTCCGGTGACACTACACTGGGGTCTAAGTGTGGGCCCTAGTGACATTGGGAGGTCGGTTCGGTGATGTGTTTTTGCCTGGGTTACCGATGTTGGATACGGTTTACCCGTCACGGGGTCAAGAGAGGCTGAGAAATGTCAGACACCTTACATGGCTCAGCATGCGTTGCGTAGCCCTTCTACTCGTATTTTTGACCTAGCACAATTATCTACGTGCAATGCGTTCTGCACCGGGAAAACGCACTACGACTGTTATACCGCCATTCTTCGTATTTTTGATTGACCGAGCCTGATATGCTGAATCTAGAGCGTCATGTTTGCATTGTGTTTCGTTGGCGACTGGCGTCCATAACAACTCCTGTCGAGTTCCCGTACTAAAGAATTAGTGAGCAAATTCCAGCGAGCCATCCCTATCGCTCACGACCCAGTGGCTAGGACTATCCAATTACAATATTTCATTCGTTTCTATTTTATCAGTTTTTCTCCCGAGCACTTGACACACAGAGCGTCCGCATAATATGGCGTCAGTAACGCTATAACGTAAACAGAGTTTCTGCGGAGCCTTTTAGCGTTGATATTAGGTTTACGGCCGGCCTGCTCGACGGTCCTGTTATCTGC